CTGTTCCACCATTGCCCAGTAGGGTTGGATGTTCGGACAGGTCCACCACACATGCAGCATTTTGCCCGTGGCGCATCTCCAACACCTATTGGTTTTGCCTGGGTACATGCAAGCCAGTCTCGCTGGCACATAATACCAGCGGTATTAGAGCCATATGGAATTTTATTTCTTTTGGGGCTTACTTTTGAGACACAGTTTCAAACTTAGTTACTTGGAGAAAATTTCTCTTCTATTTATTTTCAGTGATTTATTTGCTTGGCTATTGATAATGAAACTTTAAGCACTTTAAATGAGGATCATCTAAAAAAAATAGAAGTTGACAAATATTTCGAATTATTGTTGTTTCTCAATAGTAGTAATTTACTTATGAATAGTGATGTCCCGAACGGTTTGCGAACGGTTCGCCACGGACTCATCATTGAGTAAACTTTGACCCTGTACCTCACAGTCAGCAGACACATTCCAGCCAATCAGCAGCAGACCCTCCCTCCCAGACCCTCCCACCTCCTGGACAGCTCACTAAGAATGCAGCTTCACAATGAATGTAAAATAGATGCTGTCCAGGAGGTGGGAGGATCTGGGAGGGAGGGTCTGCTGCTGATTGGCTGGAATGTGTCTGCTGACTGTGAGGTACAGGGTCAAAGTTTACTGAATGAGGAGTCCGTGGCGAACCGTTCGGGGCGAACCGTTCGGGACATCACTACTTATGAAATATTAACATCTTTCATGACTCATCAAATATATTCACAAATTAGAGATAATGTTTGTCAATCTCACGTTAAAAATACATATGAATACACATTATTTTTACACACTGTTTAACATCTTGAGCAAGTGATATTTATCATGCGCATCTTTACTCACTATTTATCACAGTAGCTCAATAAAAAAAAAGAAGGAAAGTCTACTACTTTGAGAAAGTCATTTATCACCTGAACGTAAAAAAAAACAAAAAACACCTGTACCTAAAAAAATAAATGTTAATCGTTTTCCCGAATTGAAGACAACAAATATATCTCAAATCTAATTATTTAGATGCCTAGAGCAGTATAGATAACATTAAAACTACCATGTTATTGAGTTATCAGTTGAGGATTCGGTACAGTGAGGAAAAAAGGTATTTGATCCCCTGTTAATTTTGAACGTTTGCCCACGGACAAAGAAATGATCAGTCTATAATTTTAATGGTAGGTGGGTGTATTTTAACAGTAAGAGGCAGAATCACAAAAAAATATTTCAAAAAAACGCATGTCAAAAAAGTTATAAATTGATTTGCATGTCAATGACTGAAGTAAGTAGTTGACCCCTTCGACTTAGTACTTGGTGGCAAAACCATTGTTGGCAATCACAGAGGTCAGATGTTTCTTGTAGTTGGCCACCAGGTTTGCACAGATCTCAGGAGGGATTTAATCCCACTCCTCTTTGCAGATCCTCTCCAAGTCATTAAGGTTTCGAGGTTTGGCAATAATTGCCAAAATACGGATTAAGGAACAGCGCCCTCATAAAAATACATTTCTAAATTCTACAAGCCTACTTATTATCGCCTATCTCAGCAAACAAATATGGGGATTCAGTTCCACCATATGGCCATATTGTATTAAGCCCAGCTCTAAATTAGCTGAAGTGTATATAAATAATCTGTTGTAAAAGCATTGTGAATATATATAATTCAAAATGAATGTGATAAACGTAGTAAAAATATGCAGTGTCAAAATTAAACAATTAAAGTGATAGTGCTTTGATTTATATACTGCAATGCAATTCGTATATCTACTCAAAGAAAATTATAATTAACTATGATATGTTTTGACCTTAAAATATTAAAGTAAATATCAAGTAAAAAATATCACCTAAATTACCTTACCCATGATGATGTATAGAAAAAAAAGCTTTTGTGGAATTTAAAAAGGAAAGCGTGTCATTTTGGCAGTGAGATTATGAAACAATCTATCATGTTATTGCTAGAGGTGTTAATTAAATGTGGCAAGATAATAGTGATATGATGTGTCTCTAGTGGGGATACAATGTATGGAGTGTATAATAACAATGTGAAATCTGCAGACATATGTTTTGTCCATGTGTAAGATATAAAATGCGCATACAGTGTTTTACAAGCCACCCAACTGTCGATTGCTGCAATGCAGTCCTGATTTTATGGTCCCATTCCGCTGTCTCTTCCTGTTTCTTCCCGGGTATCCCACTTTTGAGGGACAAAAAGGAACTGTCAGCCAAAAAGCATAGCACAAGTGCATCATTAGACATTATCATTAGACACCAGTGCCCTGCAGATAGTGCTGAAACAATGCTCTCCGCATGGCCGGCCATAGTGGGCTTGCCTGGGTAATTGCCAAGTGCCATTAGGTAATGCAAGTGAAGCAATTTGTGCCAGTGGCCCAACCCCTCCTACGCCGCCCACCGGCTCCTTGACGCACAGAACGCTGATCCTGGAGGGTATAGTTTGACAGGATTATTCACTAAAAGGAGAATTCAAAGTGAAATTTAAGTTTACGGTCAAAATAGCCAAATTGTAAATCTTCTCTTCATTAGCAATGGTTTCACTTCGACGACTTTGGCCTTGAATTTGAAATTCACTTTAGATTTTTACTTTATTAAATAAACTACATGAACTGCGGATAGAAAACTGAATTGTACAATTTAGGACGAAATAGCCGAACCTTGACTGTGGCTTAATTGGAGATTTTTTTTAAATCAGCTATTTGTGCCGTAATTTTGCAATTCGGGGCTCCTTGTGCACTAGGATAAATGATCTTTAAAAAATCATTTTCCCTGGTAGAAAATTAAGGCCAAAGAAAATGATATTTATAGCTGATTAACTGAGAATTAGGAGAATATCTACTGAATTGGGCATTGTTGTAGGTTTATGTTTACATTCAGACCAAACTACCAGCACTGGAAATAAAATCTCCACAGTTTCCCCCCCCAATTTTTGGGTAACTCCTGTAAATTGAGTTTAGGTTCACGTTGATTTTCTTGGAAAATCGATGTAATTATTTATTTTTTACAGCCGTCAGTGTTCTATGAATTGGGATTTAACTATTTATCTGTTCATCTATCTGTCTTTCTGTGTGTTTGTGTGTGTGTGTTTGTGTGTGTGTGTATTTGTGTGTGTTTGTGTGTGTGTGTGTGTGTGCATTTGTGTGTGTTTGTGTGTGTGTGTGTGTTTGTGTGTGTTTGTGTGTGTGTGTGTGTTTGTGTTTGTGTGTGTGTGTTTGTGTGTTTATAGAGTTTCCCAGCGCTGCAACATCATTGCTAACCTGATCAGTATTTTCTGTACTGAATTTCTTTCACTGGTTTTCTATTTAAAGCTTGCAGAGCGCTAGGAGGCATTCACTTCCAAGAGGATAAAGTGTGGGAGGAAACTACCTCAAATCCAATAGCAGCACATTAGACTATGTGGTGAGTAGAGATCCCCCTTAAAGGGGTAATGGAGACGCTCTGCTCGCTGGCTGGAAATGTATTGACTCTCTTTGTCTCTCACACAAACTAAACTGCTAGAGATGAGTTAGATTTTCTGACACTCTTTCACAGTAACCTAACACAGCAGCTCAGCTTAATAAATACTATTCACTAAACGATACATTGTGATGAATTTATAAATAAATTACAAAATGCAGATTTTAAGAAAATTCTCGAATCCACCACCTTTTCCAACTAAACCTGTTATAGTTTAATTTTTACCATTCTTAACTGACTGTTTATTGAATGAGCCTCTCACCTATTCCTTGAAATCATTTTTTTTTGTTTGTATTTTTATTTTATTTTTTGCTTGGTTTCTGACAATAAGTTCAGAATTTGCAGGACCATTTACAGTGAAATATTAGTGATAATATGTCTTGATAATATGAAAGTAGCCAGTTTGAAATATTCTCCAAGTCAGCTATGTTCCAAGCTCATCTTTCGCTTTAAAGGACCACTCTAGGCACCCAGGCCACTTCAGCTTAATGAAGTGGTCTGGGTGCCAGGTCCAGCTAGGGTTAACCCATTTTTTCATAAACATAGCAGTTTCTCATTGACAGCCGCTAGAGGCGCTTGCGTGATTCTCACTGTGAAAATCACAGTGAGAGCATGCCAGCGTCCATAGGAAAGCATTATGAATGCTTTCCTATGTGACCGGCTGAATACGCGCGCAGCTTTTGCCGCGTGTGCGCATTCAGCCCAGGAGCAGGAACGGAGGAGGATCGGAGGAGGAGAGCTCTCCGCCCAGCGCTGGAAAAAGGTAAGTTTTTACCCCTTTCCCCCTTCCAGAGCCGGGCGGGAGGGGGACCCTGAGGGTGGGGGCACCCTCAGGGCACTATAGTGCCAGGAAAACGAGTATGTTTATATGGCACTATAGTGGTACTTTAATCAGCAATTTATTGTAAAGCGCTGCGGAATAAGATGGCGCTATATAAACACCAATAATAATAATAATAATTACATAGAAAATCCCAAACAGTTAACAGTTTAGTGAATACAGCCCCTTGATATTCCAACAGGGCCTCCTCCAATTGTTTAGCAACACAACCCCCTTGATGTTTTGCCAGCCTGAAGCATCCAATGGGACTTTAGCAATTAGGATTCGTAATCGATAAAATCCCAGATCTTCCTCCTTGTTGTATTGTGTTTGCGTTACAATACAGTTGAGAATAAATAAATAGTTGAATTGCTGTTATTTCCTTCTGAATTTTACTTCAAACAAAATATGCATATTACAAATTGTCATTAATAAGTTCCTGAAGAAATCAAATGTTTAAATCTCACAGCAGATTCACTAAAAACTGGAAAAAATCTGGAAATTCCAACTGCAGTGACAACTCTCATATTTACTAAAGCCAAACATGGTCGGAATTCGGTCAGGCCGAGTAAATCTGCAGCAATCACCCAGATGTATTCGGTGTCTGGTTTACAGGGTGGATTAAAACATTTATCATTTTATTTTTTAAAATCCGATTTGTTAATTTTTTGATTTGAGTAAACTTTGACCCTGTACCTCACAGTCAGCTGACACATTCCAGCCAATCAGCAGCAGACCCTCCCTCCCAGACCCTCCCACCTCCTGGACAGCATCCATTGTGAAGCTGCATTCTTAGTGAGCTGTCCAGGAGGTGGGAGGGTCTGGGAGGGAGGGTCTGCTGCTGATTGGCTGGAATGTGTCTGCTGACTGTGAGGTACAGGGTCAAAGTTTACTCAATGATGAGTCCGTGGCGAACCGTTCGGGACATCACTATTTGCTGATAATGTTTTAAAGACAGTCACACGAGTGAACTGGTGGAAGCCTCACAAGCACTTGGATTCAGAAGTTGTTGAAGTAATGATTTTACTTTGAACAGCAGTGACCTCTTCTGCTGGCGTCCAAAGAATGTTCTCTTCCTCAGGACTTGTTTATTCCAAATTGAGACATCGGTTGGGGCCCGATAAAGCAGAAAAGCTTGTCTTTCTTTTCTAGGTTATAAACAAACAAGAGAAAGAAGATCAGTGAGCTGCAGAAGACTGTGTTTTTCACATGGACCCAGCGAATGTATTCAGTTTAGATTTTTGGTTTGTTTTTTTAAAGATATTTCATTTAACCACTTCACTTAGTAAACATTGATGTTTAAGCAAATACAATATTATTGTTTTTAGTTAAACAATCTAGGAAGTTCTCCAAATATGAGTGATTAACCAATTAAACCAAAATCAGTTCTGATATAGCCATTTTTGCAAATATTAAAGATTTGGAACTAGTGATTTAAATCATGATTTAAATCCAATCCACCTTGCCGCATCAAAACCATATACAAAGTATAGAATTTGGAGCATTTACAACACAGTCATTTTAATAAAATTTGGAACCAAATGCGTCAGGATGCACTTTCACAAATTATCGTTCACTTCCTTTTTTGCGACCAAATGATGATGATTTTAAGTACTATTTGCCCGCTGACAGCACTAGCAACTGGCGTGCAAATAGTTAAAAACTCTCAGCAATGCGAAGGTTAATTATGTGGCAGCTTGGCAGATGCCTCATTAATAATGTAAAACAAAAATATTTAGTAAATAAATAAGGCTGTTGGGGTAAAACAAAAAAACCCACACAGGGGGCGTGGCAAGCAGTGATACTTACCAGTCGTCTCTCTGTGGGGCTCCGCCGAGACCCACAATAAAGCGACATGGGACGCGTAAAAATCCAGCCTGACGCCCAAACTTCACAGCCCCCACCAGATGACACAATGGGGTGCAAGTACAAAAGGCAAGACTGCACAGAGCGTCCTCGTTTGCCCAATATTCGTCTCTCTCTTGCATACCATCAAAGATGATGCCCAATGCCCAGAGGCCTTAAAGTATTCCCAGAAAGATGAAGAATCACTCACCCTTCCTCGAACCAGCATAGTACACCAGACATCTGAGTCAGATAAAGACTTGTCTCCATCCACAAAGGGAGAGATCAAGAGGCTCCTGATTGACCTCAAAGGGGTCTGGAAAGCTGACCTCTTGGAGGCCCTGACCGAGATTGGGGTCCAACAGTTTAACTGCGCAGTGGCATTCATAGAGTCAAGACACAGACGTTGGAACATCCGGCTCCGTGGAATCCTAGAAGAGGTGGAGGGAGAGGCGAAGAATGGGACTCTAGAGGGGGCAACCCACAGTCACCAGCCAATATACCCAAGGGTACTGCTCACCGGCAGTGATCCTTACCAGAAGCAAACTCATTGTTAGGCTGATGGCATAGTGTAATGTGTGCTAACATTCACCCCAACCCACGAGACACGATGGGCAGAATTGTTTAGTGTCAAGTGCAACCATCAGTATTAGAATATTTTTTAGTTGCATGTTGCTTCATAATCCAGTTTGATGTATGCCATACTTACATGTTATCTTACCCTGATATAAAGGAAAACTTTTATATTTTATGTACAAACTCTAATAAAACTCAAATTTAAAAAAAAAGAACTCCACATTACTAGATGGGAGATTTTAAAACTCCATATGCCCCTACCTACATACAGCAGGTGGGAACATATCTACTAAGTGTTTAAACTAGGGAATAGGCAGCCATTGCTTCCCACTCACTAGAAAGCCCCTATCCCATGGGGATTGAACCTGTAAATTACTGGAGGTGACATAGTCTTCCCTGCAACCCTGTCATGGTTAACAACTCCAACAAGCAGAAAGTGGATTTCAGCTGTCCAGCACTGATTGTCCCAAGTAATATCCAGAGAAAATTCGGGCCCATTCAGTGCCTGAATCGCAAACTCCAGACAATTGAATTGCGTGAATAATGTCCAGACTTTGCAGTCCCTATGGGCCATATACAGGCTGTTGGTTTTGACCCAGTCCGGAGCCAGTTGGACTTTAGTCTACAACCACTAAAACACACCAATTACCATAACCACTACAGCCTGCTGTAATTGCAGAATACACTGGTCTATTATTTCTTGATAGGATAATTTTCACAAAGGAAACAGTAAATCAAGTTAACTTATATTTTTATTATTTAATTTTAATGCTATAACATAAATCTGGTGGCAGAGGCCCATTTCAGCTTATTATAATTAATTTTTTCCAGCTTTTTCTTTGGGTTAATATTGGACTCTTGAACAGATTCTCGTGCCGGAATATTTCCATTGAATAAAAAATATTGATTGGAAGTGAAGGGGTGTGATGCATGCACATAAAAAGGAAAGGTAGTCATACAAGATTATGAGCCTCCACCGATTAGATTGTGAGCCAGTTATCAACCAGGCAGCTGGGAGCTTTCTACAGTATAATTATATAAAAGACTCCTATGATATAAATCACCTATCTCGCAGCTAGGCTATCAACTCAGATTACGTGTAGAAACACTGTAGCAGTGGCGTGATGATTTTAATATTGATCTGAACAATTACGATGGACTTTTAATAAGAGAGAACCTTTATAGAACAGGAAAAGCTGTCTATATTGTGAACCTATAATGTTTATGGTGTTTGTTCTCAGGAGTTCTCAGGAGTAATTTTTTGCTTTGTATTGTAGCGTTCACTGTGAAAAATATATGATTAACCTTGTTAATAGCTTTTAATCTTTTGCAGCATATACATTGTGGAGGAAACTAACTTAAAGGAACACTATAGGGTCAAGAACACAAACACATATTCCTGACCTTATAATGCTAAAACCCTCTTGGTGACATCATCAGAATTGCTGATTTTTAGCCAATCCAATGGTGTCCCTAGGGGCAATGTAAACACTGCCTTTTCTCTGAAAAGTTAGTGTTTGCATGAAAATGCCTGAATGTATTGATTATACTCACCAGAACAACTACATTAAGCCTCAGAAACCATCAGGTATGGTCGTATGACTTCTTAATAAATTGAATTAAACTGTTAATATACAGAATAAAGTCATGAAAATTTTACAATTGGTCATCATTCATGTAGTACTTATTAAGTCATGCCAATGATTAGGCTAAATGAGATTTTCAAAGAGTGAAAACAAAATATTCACATCTAAAATTTCTGATAAAAATATAAGTGCAGCTTGAAGACCATTTTTTATTTTATTTCCTTAGTACTATACCCTAAAATAGTCAAAATAAGCATCATAGGAGATTTAGTCGAGTGGCACAGCCAAGGTTCGCCGTTATTATGCGGGTAAATATGTGTTTTTTTTGGGTGACAGGTCTTCTTTCGATAAATGATTTAAAAAATGGTTTCCCCTCCACAAACTTAGCATAAAAGAAGAAAGCGAAACAAATATGTTATTTGTGAAAAAAATACTGTGTATCGTGGTTCATCGTGATTTATCCGGATTATGAATAATTATTGGAAAGTGGCAGGACCAGCAAGATTACATTGTCGATTCTTGTCTTTCAGTCAGTGTCTTTATTAAGGAAGTCAGAATCTTGAATTATTTGACGTGGATTCTCTTATTCCTTCTTTGTGAATTACCTCTGAATTCAATGTAACTCTTCCAAGTTACCTGCTTCACGATACATAGGCCCCAAAGCAGGGGATGAAAGTTGAGGGTTTTAATGTTATTGCATCCCTGTCCCTTCACTGTAAACTATTCCAGTAACCTACTTTGTTCCCGTAAATGAAATACTTCCTACCTTTACCTCTTGTGCCACTTTACCCCACTCCCTATAATGTAAGCTCATTTGAGCACAGCCCTCAAGAAACATAGAAACATAGAAACATAGAATGTGACGGCAGATAAGAACCATTCGGCCCATCTAGTCTGCCCAATTTTCTAAAAACTTTCATTAGTCCCTAGCCTTATCTTATGGTTAGGATAGCCTTATGCCTATCCCACGCATGCTTAAACTCCTTTACTGTGTTAACCTCTACCACTTCAGCTGGAAGGCTATTCCATGCATCCACTACCCTCTCAGTAAAGTAATACTTCCTGATATTATTTTTAAACCTTTGTCCCTCTAATTTAAGACTATGTCCTCTTGTTGTGGTAGTTTTTCTTCTTTTAAATATAGTCTCCTCCTTTACTGTGTTGATTCCCTTTATATATTTAAATGTTTCTATCATATCCCCCCTGTCTCGTCTTTCCTCCAAGCTATACATGTTAAGATCCTTTAACCTTTCCTGGTAAGTTTTATCCCGCAATCCATGAACCAGTTTAGTAGCCCTTCTCTGAACCCTCTCTAAGGTATCAATATCCTTCTGAAGATACGGTCTCCAGTACTGTGTACAATACTCCAAGTGAGGTCTCACCAGTGTTCTGTATAATGGCATGAGCACTTCCCTCTTTCTACTGCTAATACCTCTCCCTATACAACCAAGCATTCTGCTAGCATTTCCTGCTGCTCTATTACATTGTCTGCCTACCTTTAAGTCATCAGAAATAATCACCCCTAAATCCCTTTCCTCATATGTTGAGGTTAGGACTCTATCAAATATTCTGTACTCTGCCCTTGGGTTTTTACGTCCAAGATGCATTATCTTGCACTTATCCACATTAAATGTCAGTTGCCACAATTCTGACCATTTTTCTAGTTTACCTAAATCATTTGCCATTTGGCTTATCCCTCCTGGAACATCAACCCTGTTACATATCTTAGTATCATCAGCAAAAAGACATACCTTACCATCAAGACCTTCTGCAATATCACTAATAAAAATATTAAAGAGAATGGGTCCAAGTACAGATCCCTGAGGTACCCCACTGGTGACAAGTCCAAGCTTTGA